CAAAATCAGGCCAACGTCATTAATGTTGTTTTAAATAGAAACAACAACTTCTTATCACACATTCTTGTAGCTTATCCCGAGAGCTTTCCAAAACACTCTAACGAAGTTACATTTCGTTGAGTATCTTCTGAGTTATGAGGCTTGGAAGTTAAGGCAAGACCGATCACTGATCCGACCAATTAAGGCAAGATCAATTCGAATATGTCTTTAGCCGTTAATAAGTCTTGGCCTTAGAAGTACGAAATAAAACCTCCTTGCTTTTATTACAATATCCTGTAAGTTAACAAATATTCTTCACACATACAAACATAGTATTATTATATTTTTATTGAGCAGTGCACTGAACAACTATGACATTGTTCTGAGAGTTTTCTCATTTAGAGCGACAAAACAAATATATTTTATGAATTTTTTTTCGCGCAGCTAAAAAATTTCACGGATGTAATTGTTTTTGCAGATTATTTAATATTGTATGAAAAATATTTATTAACTTACAGAATATTGTAATAATAGCAAAGAGGTTTCATTTCGTACTTCTTGATTCTGTTACAATATTCTTTTATATTTCATACTACATCGTTGTATAACTTGAAATTGTTCTTAAAATATTATTAAACAATTCAATAATAAAACCTGTGGACCTGCCCGACTCCGCAAAATAATTAATAAGATATATTTCATTTTCTTGGCGCCGAATATTATCAATACTATTACAAATAATATTACAAATGATATAAATTTTTACAAATAAAATTAGTAAAAATTTGTATTATTTGTAACATTATACAATTACAAGTAAAATTACAAATAATAATATTATAAATAATATATATTACAAATAATAATATTATTAATAATAAAATTTTATTTGTAATAATTTCGGTGCGCCGAGTAGACAAAACTTTTCAGTATTGTCATAGAGAGGAAAGGAGAGAGAGACAGTCGCGCCCGCGATTCAGATTATGGGTAAGAAAGAATTAGGCTCGCTCGCTGAGCGAGAACGAGGGCTCGAGAGCGACAAGGAGGGAATGATATTCTCTCTGTGTGGCTCGTTCGGCGCGTCGACAATTGCCGATCGCGTGGCTCACACGGATTGACCGAGCTGACTGTGTGCGTATATGGGGGGGGGAGGAGAATCTTCGTGCAAGCCCATCACCAAATTCGCATCACTGATACCAATGATGTCAAAACCGAACAAGCTGCGGACAAGCGTAACTTGTAAATACTGGAGATCAACTGTTTATCAGCTCATAGACAATTAATATGACGAGATACCCGTGGAGACCCGTGTACTTCTCTTTCGTCTTTGCGTACAATTGCGATCAATAAAAAATTCTCACAAATTGTTCGGTTTTGGCATCATTGGTATACGTGTATGTGTGTATGTATGTGTACACGTACACGTACAATTGCGATATACACTTATCATGTTAGCATTGATCATTTTTATTCATGCTAAAAGAAATAAGTATGATTATGTAAAGAATTTGTCTGCGTATTATTATACATTCTACATAGTTCTCCCTGTGATAGTAAAAATAACACACTTGAACAACCTCTACGCTCATATCATAAAGCCTGATTCACTGCGCTACTGAAGCAAATTGGTAATTCTTCTGCTATAACGACATTAACAGAAAAGACTAAACTTCAAACTGTATTTCTCAAAAACGTTTAAGATTTGCATCGTTTTTGGATAGCATTTGTTACTATTACATCAATATTATACTTTTCTAAAAGCAAAATCGTGCGGTGATTTCAAGGATGAAGATTCCTCTTGTGTGAGATATTAATTATTCATTCTTTATTAATGAGAAAAGATTTTCCTTTGGTTTAAATGTTCAAGAAAAATTATTTGTTCTCTGAGAATCTTTCAATTTTTATGTTCGTGAAAAGTTTACAAAATTCGTAAAGATAAAAAATTATCTTACTACCTACCTGTTCAAGAGTTGCGCATAAGAGATATTTTAACAAATCTGAATCTGAATCAGTCAACAAATTAAATTTTTCATTCAAAGAAACATATGTAGGGTAAGCATAAGTAAGATAAGTATAAATAATAAATTAAATATTATTCTCTGAATATAACTAATAAATAAATGTTTTTTTCTTTAGCTGAATCATCGAAGTAAATATTCTATTATAAATTGACTTTTCGGATTACAATATTAATTTGATTTTTCAGAGTACGCTTTCAAATTGACTTTTCGGAATACGCTATTAAATTGACTTTTCGGAATACACTTTTTAATTGACTCTTCTGACTATACATTTTTTAGTTGACTCTATGGAGTACACATTTTTTAATTAACTCTTCGGAGAGAAGAGAAGAGAAACATTTTATATTTTATTTAAAAAGTCTTAATTTTTCCAGAAAACTGATTGATGAAGAAAAAAATTAATTCACGACCTCAACGAAGATCTTAAAAAAATTACTGCAAGAAATGAAGTTGTTATTATATACCATATTGTACAATATTAAAACATACGTGCAATAATTATCTATAATTTGCATATATGGGCGTTTATGTAATTATAAGTAATATAAAAGTCATGACAAATTAATGTGGTCGCGCGTTATCTCTGTCGCGTCATTGCTAGAAATCGTCCGAACTCTCGAAATTATTTTCTTCCCGAATTATGAATATAAAACAATGTGGAAAGGAAAACAAGGGGGTGAAAGGGGAGATGACGACGTCTGCCTTACGATAACATCGCTGCTGGCTCGCTTCAGTTTATCGTCGCGATTGTCTACTCACTGGTGGTGAGACAAAGACCGATTCTCTGCTTTTATCTAAAACCAGCGGCACACGGTGCTTGTTTTCGTGCTGGATTGCTTGCTGGATGAAAATACTGCGTTCTGATTGGTGCATTTCCATTCATCTTCGGAAATGTACCAATCAGAACGTAGTATTTTCATCCAGCAAGCAACCCAGCACGAAAACAAGCACCGTGTGCCGCTGGTTTAACTAATCTAGCTCGCTCGTGAACATAGCACAGAACAGAACTAAATAATTATGGACATAGCACGGAATAGTACCAACAAATCGTGGACATTGGCTTAGTAGTTCATGTCCATGAAAAATGGACCCAGTTGGCGCTTCGAATCAGCCAACTTTTCAATAACGCTGTAAATACAGCCATGTCCGCTCTCAGGCTTCTCTCTGGTTGGACACTGTTAGGTTCCTTGCACAATGCCAGGCAATAAGCAATAAGAATAAAAAAAACCAATCGACTATTACAAGAATAATCTATTGTGATTGGTCTATTTTTATTCTTATTGTCTGTTGCCTGGCATTGTGCAAAGGGCTTTACACTGTGGCCTCTGTAACCCTTGCTGGGAAACGGCCTTTGTAAAGAAGTAGAGTGAACAAGAATCATGCACGCTTTGCCGTTACCATCAGAACGGATGTAATTTACATGTACTTTCTCAGAGGACGTATCGGAAAGCGTCCTAGAATCCAATCCAATGGCCGCTCTCAGGCTTCTCCCTAGCACGAGTTTGTCGCGGTTTAGAGAGTGGCGTCGGAGCAGTGGCTTACACACCCAGAGCCATCTATTGAATTGAATTGAGTCTATCGCGGTTTGTGACGTATTGCAAGTAGTGGACGCATGCGTATGAGATTCTGGTTGTGAGATGATTTCTCTGGACTCTTCCATCACTGCCATTCAAATCAGATATATGTGATTTATTGATCGATAATTGTTTCATATTAGTGGTTTGAATCGACCGAACAATTCGGTCAAACGCGAGATTTCAAATAAACTAGATAGTTGAATAGCATATTATAATGTATAATTATTAACAATGATTTATATAATTCCGCAATCAAAACGAATTATTACTGGGGAAAGTATGTAAGATAGCGTCAAACGCAGGATCGAAATATGTAGAAATACACAATTTGCACTACGGATGTGTAAATCACATGACTTCTTTAATACATTTATTCTTATATATCCATATTTATACACAGTAGTATAGCTATTATTAATTATATAATAGTGACGTAATGCATTTTGCATTCTCGTTCGATTGGTTAATATTTGACAAAAATACAAAAATTATTAATGTATAATAATTATTATGAGAACAAACGTGCTTACTCCGAAGCTTATCTTTTTTTTCTTTTTCGTTTTCATCTTCTTTGTTGCTTTCTCTATTATGTTTTGCATTTTTCCCCTTTACTTTCCATTATACATTACACTTAATATACTTCTTTTTTTTGTCATCCTAAATTGTCCGAGTATACACGAGTGCGAATGGACATAAAAAACATACATTAAGACAAAACGAAAAACGTACTTGATTCTCTCGGCCGTAATCATTGACTGTTTCATCTCATTGTGGTGTCGGCAATTACGTGTGTCATATGCAATTGAATGCGCATATCAGAATGAGCGGTTAATAGTCCACAGCTTCGCGGGATTACGGCGAGAAGACATTTGTTAGCCCACGAACTCTTGCCCTTCCCCCCCCCCTCTCTCTCTCTCTCTCAACATAGTTTATGAGTACAGATTTACATTTTCTCCGAAAGAAAGGAAGCTAATCTACATTTGGTCTTCCAAGTTCTTCAAAACGCATCATCGACCTACTCATACCGCATTTATACGAGTTCATGTATTATTTATATATTTATATATATATGCAGTCGCTAAACGAGAATTTACTTACAACTATTTACTTCTCGCTTACATTAGCGGTAATTGGTAAAGCTTTGACAAAGACCGCTCGGGGTCCATCCGTGGGCAGAAGAAATATTATTCTTCATGTATGGTACATGCGCAAATCGTAACAATTCTCACAGCACCTTTTTTTATGGAAACATATTTTTTCTCTCTTTCTCTCTCTCTCTCTCTCTCTCTCTCTCTCTCTCTCTTCTTTCGTTCGTTCATGCTTGCTTATTGCGTGCGTACATATATATGCGTTCGACACGCGGTTATTCTCCTACTTTTCTTCCTTTCTCCTTTTTTTCTCTCCAAATGAATACCTGCGATCATTCATTATTCACAATGCAAAAATGTAAAGTATATTTTCAAAATACACGTGTGTGAGTGTATGTATGTATGTGTTGCATTGGTCAATACATGTTATTTTGTTCTGATTAATATGTATATATAACTATACACGGTTCGCTTCTAATTAGTAGAAATAATGCGATATTAAAGAATGTGTACACCAGACGGAATCGATGATTTCTTCTTTTTTTTTATTACAATCTCAATGGAAAAGATACAAATATCGCTGTCACTCATTGTCACTGCATCAACATTGTTACTTTTGCGTTTGTTCGTTCGTTTCGACAAAACGGTGTGATCGGTTTCGACAAATGGTGTATTTTGAACTTATTCTCATTTTAGTTGTCTTTTTATGTTATTTTTCAAAAACTTTTAACTCATATTAGTGCATATTAAGTAATAACAAAGAGTTTATAAATTTATATAAGTAAGAATTTATATGTTTTAAGTTTGTTGTTGCAATGAAAATCGCGACATCGTCTCGATGCACACATCTCACTACTATGTATGGTTCGAGAGCGAGTCAAATGTGCGGCTATTTTTTTTGCAAGCAAATATAAAAATGCATAACTTTTTTGGATTTAGTGTTATCTTGGCGTTTTCAAAAAACAAAAAATCGAAGCAGTACTAAAATAAAGATTAGTTCTCGATAAACCGACGAAAAACGATTCTTCTTACTCGAAACAAAACATCTTTTTGGTGTGTCTAGAAATGCATTTAGTAACAAACGATCCTTCGTTTCTCGATATGCCTACAAAATATTTTCTAATAAAACTCTGACAATAATTGTAAATTAATCGTCCAACTATAATTTCTATATAGTTAAATATTAATTTTTTACGATTTTTAACCTTCGACTTCAAAGTAGCAAACATATGATAATCGGAAGATATATTATACTAATGCAATTAGATTTCGTAAATTACATAATTCAGGAGATTCTAATAAAACAAATCTTAATTATTGTAGTCAATCTACGGAAAATAAGATGTTTACGTCGCTCTCTATGTGGTTTGATCAAATGTGTAGAAAACACATTCGATCTCATTCTATTATAAAAAGTAATGCAAATATATGAGAGAACAATAAAAGAGCAAAGATTTTTTTCTCTCTTAGAGTATATACTGCATAATTGCCATATATTTAAATTTTTTTAACTATACCGAGAAATATCTAACAGAGAAGAGTTACGCCCGTCCATAACTCTCTGTGTAATCAAAAAATTATATGGTAATAATTTCAATGCAATATACAAGTCGTCGTGTGTTGTATGTGTATTAATGAGGAGTAATGCAAATCAACTCTAGTTACAAATACATATAATACGTTTAAGTCAATCTTATCGCGAGTGCAACGAGATCACTCGCTATGCAGCAGCTTTTCTCACGAGGTCGCGTTTTACACGTCGAAAATAAAAACGCTATAATTGCGACAAATTTGTACATAACCATGCGTTCGAATGATTCCACATGTACACAATCGTAATTTTTTAGCGGTACAGCTTTTCGTTATTCCGCGGAAATGCGCCTTTCGCGTTAATGAGTCAAAATGCTCATTTCACGCAGAAGAAAAGAAAAGAAAAATTAAGATAAAGAGACACTATCATAGCAGTCCATATATACATATATTTTGAATATATGTATTCAAAATTGCACTGTGTAACATATAGCTGGGCGATCTCAACGAGACAAACTCAACGAATGTTTTTTTTTTTCTTTTGGTTTTCCTTCCGATGTTCTATATGACACGATCTGTATGATACCAGCTTTATCACGTTGTGACATGCCAGCAATTATTTTTCTCATAATTTTATCAATATGACAAGTCATATTTCATAATACATCACGTGATCATTGCGTGGTAAACGCTATAACTTCATTTGGCACGAGTGCAACTTGAAGTTAGTAGGAATACGCAAATTATATAGAATTTTTGTACATATTCCTCTACGTAAGATGTTATCTTACTTGTAACGCGCTCTTATGCATTGGAAATGTTTGCAAATGCGCTGAAGCGAACGAAATATTTAGAACTTCTCTCTCTCTCTTTCTTTCTTTCTTCCTCTCTCCTTCTCTCTCCTTACATATAATATACATATATATTTATGTGTTCGGTCTCCTCTCACCGAATTAAATAAATAGAATAAATCGCAGAATATTGTACGCAAATCCGAAATTGATTGCTCTGATTATCGTTACAAATTCGAATAAAGGTTAATAACTGCATACTGTTCGATTTTTTTTGAAAAAAATTACTTTTCATTACGCATTAACTCGCATTACAGCAAAACCTAAATTTAATTTTAAAAGTAATTTTGTGTTCATTATTTTCAACGTCGTTTCAAATATTCATGTCGAATTAAATATATCTATAGCACATAAATGTCTCACAACAGCAGACAAGCTAGATCTCTTTAGTACGTAGATATTACGTTACAGACTCGTCCTTTTCTCAGTGCATCAATTCCGGTAAGTTTTTCTTTTTTCTTTTGTTTAATTGCTGCCGGCCCAGTAACTGGGACTGTATCCGGGTTTCGCCTGAGCTTTGTTCTGCGAACTCGTGTTGGACCTCTGACCCGTGCTGTTGGCTCCGTCTTGATGAAGAGGCTGATGCAACTGATGAGGCATAGTCGGGATAAACAGATGCGGCGTACCGTAACTGCCGGGCAAGCCGGCGTTCTGGCCACCCGTCAGACCAAACGGCGGCGGTGTAGCCGAGTGGAAAGTCTGTTTTTCGTAAGACTACAATAGTGGAAGTACAATTGAGAACGGTAGCGCGCAACTTTACGTAGATTTTTTTTCTACGGACGGCCGTTCACTTGCCTCGCGACATTACTTACGTTCACTTTGCCGAGAGCCACGTGACTCTTGGCATACATCGTGGCGCTGATATCTGTCGCGGAAGAACCGGCGGTATTAGTATTGCCGGTGGAAGTGCCGGTTTTGCCGGCCTGAGTAGCGGTGTAGCTGCTACTAGCGCCTTTATATTCTGCGGACGGACCAGCGGAGGCTAGAGCGTCATAGCTAGCTCCAGCGCCGTAACCAGATCCATAACTACCCGGTTTAGCACTATACGCACCGCTGTTCGTGCCTGCATTACCGGCCGTTGCGATTTGCTACAATGTAAACAAATACGTAAATACAAATAAGTATTCGTTCGTTTGTTTATTCAACCTCTGCCTCTTGAGGTCTACTTTTAAGCTTACCGGATAAATGGCAGGAGTCCCGTATTGGAAACCACCAGGCATGATTCCACCGCCGTAAGTAAAATACGCGTAACCAGGCGGAAGTGTGGGGTTCATTATCGGTTGCTGATGTTGCGTAGCGGTCTGCAAATAATTCGCGATATGCATAATTTTCTTCCACGCATCTCCGGCATTCTCATTTTCATCTCTGTCGCGTAAAAACTTACTTGTTGCGACATTGTAGAAGGTACTGGGGACGCATTGCTGTCATTCCTAGCGAACCTGGCGTCGCTAATACTAGTATAGGCTCCTTGCACTCCTTGCACTCCTTGAACACCTTGCACACCAGATAGAGCATCGCCTCGACCACCACCGAGACTCGTTGCGGGACCGGTTGTCTGATAGCCCAGGGCCGCATCATAGTAACCAGTAGTTGGCTGCACGTTAGTCAGGAAGGCCAAACACAAAACTACATGCATACACTGTGTACTCCAAATACAAGAAGGCTAACTAATATCTAATTTCTACGCGTACCGGGCTGGGACAAATAACATGCGAAATTGGTTGGTTGTATCTATATCTCTTGCTACGCTTGCCATATCAAATTATTAACGTGTATTCGGCTGAAACTTTCACAATTCGCCGATGTATATAGTTCGTGCTATAGAAATATCTGTGTATATGCGCGATATATACAATATAATATTTACTACCACCGTTACCAGGCTTCTCGATACTTGTATAGTCCAAGATGTTCAAGTAAAGCGGTATAAAGTGTAACATAATTATCTCCGATCACTTTTATACATATTACCGTATACGCACACGTGAATTTAATATGCATATTTTCACAGTTTTCGACACGTAACATCATTCGCATATAGCCTACAGATAAAAATTAAATCAAAATAAAGACGAAAGAGCAAACACACACGCACGCATATGCACACACACACGCACAGGGTGCCCTATTTTAAATGCAGCAGACAATTATTTTGAAAAATATAAAAGATACGGAAAAACATTTTAGATAAAAATCGTTTGGTTTCAAGAGGAACATAAAACGATATCATTTACAGATAGCGCCTCTTTCGAGATATTCACTAATCATCACTTTTTTCAAATGGACACTCCCATTTTTTATTGCATCATCTTTTTCTACTAATTAATTTAGACAACTTTTGTCTGAATCATTTTTTTATTTGCTTAATATTTTTTGAGATATTTAAGGAAAACTTGATACGTTTTTCAATATTTAGTTTACGATATCTCGGTAACTACTATTCGTAAAAAAAAGTGGTACTAGACTTTTTTTATTCTATTCGATTTCCAGAATATATCGTTAGTGCCTTAACTTTTGTTAACTTGATGATCTTTGGAAATTTCAAAATTACCAACGAAAATTAGGGCACTATTGTAACAGCATATTCAACGAAAGTTGGGACACTATTGTAACAGTATATTCTGGAGATCAGAATAAAAAAGTCTAGTATCACTTTTTCTTCCAATGAATAGTTATCGAGTCGTAAGCTAAATATTTACTAAGTTTTCCTTAAATATGTCAAAAAATATTAGGCAAATAAAAAATGTTTCAAATAAAAGTTGTTTAAATTAATCGGTAGAAAAAGACGACACAATAAAAAATGGCGGTTTTCACTTAAGAAAAAAGATGATCAGTGAATGTCTCAAAAGTGGTACCATCTGTAAACAAAATTATATCTGTCAAAATGATTGCTGTCTTATGCCCCCTTTCAAACTGTCCAAATTGTCTAAAATGTTTTTCCATATTTTTTATATTTTCCAAGATATTTGTCTGCGGCATTTAAAATGGGACACCCTCTGTGTATGTATGTAAGTACATATATAGTGCCTACCAAAAGTTCCGGGCTTAAATAATTTTTGAATAGTTTGAAATTTAGGATTGAAATTTATAGGGATACAATGGGATCACAAAATCTATTATTTAACCACAAAAACACCCACCTTTAGACCCCCGGGGGACGGGGGGAGCCAAAAAATCTTAAATGGCATGTGGGGTCGAGTGAGAGCTCGTTCGAAAGGGCTTTCCGAGACGAAAACAACGCGAGGTCGCCGAGATCTCTACGATTTTTTTTCACAGAGGTATGATCATTTGAAAATTTCCATTGAGATTTTGCGATAGCGAGGACCTACGGCGACAACAGAAGATAAGGCTTCACGCGGGCATGCGCGTTCCTGAAAGAGAGAGAGAAAGAGAGAGAGAGAGAGAGAGAGGAAGGGAGAGGGAGAGAGAGAGAGAGAGAGAGAGAGAGGAAGGGAGAGGGAGAGAGAGAGACAGAGTGTGTGTGTGGGACGCGGGGTCCTTATCTTTGTTGACACACATGCGCGAGCTCGCGTGAAGCCTTATCTTTCTTTTGTTGTCGCCGTGAACCCTTGCAATCGCAAAATCTCAATATAAATGTTCAAATGATCATAACTCTGCGAAAAAAAATCGTAGAGACCTCGGCAACTCCGCGTTGTTTTCGTCTCGGAAAGTCCTTACTCAATCCCACATGCCATTTAAGATTCTTTGGCTCCCCCTCCCCCCGTTCTCCGGGAGTATGAAGGTGGGTGTTTTTGTGGTTAAATAATAGACTTCGTGATCCTATTGTATCCCTGTCAATTTCAATCCTACATTTCAAAGCATTCAAAAATTATTTAGGTGGCCCGGACCTTTTGGTAGGCACTGTATACATTTACACATATATATACAGTGTTAGAAAACTCTGGAAACGGTCAAATATCTCGAAAACGAAACGTTTCTGAGAAAAATGTTTCTAACCAAAGTTGTAGGGTTTTAAAAGTTCTATTGAATGATCATATCTGTTTGACCTTGAGTGGAAGGGTCAAGGCGAGGTCAAGGCCAACATAATTTTTTTTAAATGGAACCCCATTTTTTATTACACAGTGTTAAAGATGATAGCGAGACGTTTCCAAAACACTACTTAATAACCTATTTTTGTTGAAAATTATTGAGTTATGAGTTTTAGAATTTACGGTGCCGCCAGCATTAGTATTATCCAGGATGTACCGCGTGGAGATTGCATGGTCGGACTTTACACCCCTGTGTGTGTGTGTGTGTGTCAGCAGAAATAAAGACCCCGCGGTTCGTCACTCCCACAGTATTTAATGGCTCCAAACCCTCTCTGCTGTGTGTGTGTGTGCGCGCGCGCGCGTGCGTGTGTATGTAGACGAGTTTTTACTGAATTAAGTACTCAAATTATCTTCCGTCTGCTGCTTGACAATGACCTAATCGTAGATGAAATTCATTTAAAACGTTTCGTTTCATTTCTGGTGAGAGAAGATTTACTTGGTGCAGTATGCGTTTCCTAAGGTCTGCCAAGTTAGCAGGCTTCGTTGCGTACACATTGTTTTTAACATACCCTCATAAAAAGTAGTCCAATGGAGAAAAGATCTGGTGATCTAGAGCCATTCTATTTCTCCACGTCTTCCTATCCATCGATTTGGGAAAGTATCAGTTAAAAATTGACGCACTACTACTGCATGGTGTGGCGGTGCACCATCTTATTGAAACCAAATATTTTGTATATTTCCGTCAAACAAATTGTCAATAGCAGGAACTATTTCATTTCGCAATAAACCTAGATAAGTGTTCGCATTTAAATTTCTTTCGATAAAGAAGGGCCCGATAATACCACGTTCGCAAAAACCCGTCCCCACAGTTTCAGTTTTTGGGGATATTGTGTGTGGAGATCACGCATCCAGTTAGGGTTCTCGTCACTCCAATAGCGGCAATTCTGACGATTTACCGTTCCATTTAATTCAAAAGAAGCTTCATCGGAAAAAGTGATATTATCAAGAAAAGTGTTATCATTATCGTATCGACACATCATTTCATCGCAAAACTCATTTCTTCTATCGAAATCACATTCCGCTAGTTTTTCTGAGTAAATTTTATTTTGAAAGAATGCCATTTTTCTTTTATTATAATTTTATGAATGGAAAATGTACTAACTTCAGTCGCCTGTGCTACCTTCCTTATCAAAGAATAAGGATGAGCTCCTACAAATGATTTGTAAGTCTAATGACAATTTACAAATAATTTCTTACAATGTGTACGCAACGAAACCTGCTAACTTGGCAGACCTTAGGAAACGCATACTGCACCAAGTAAATCTTATTTCACCAGAAATGAGACGAAACGTTTTAAATGAATTTCATCTACTATTAGGTCATCTATGATTAGGTCAAGCAGCAGACGGAAAATAATTTGAATACTTAATTCAGTAAAAACTCGTCTGCATACACACGCACAGGCGCGCGCGCGCATACAAACACACACAGTAGAGAGTTTGGAGTCATTAAATACTGTGGGAGTGACGAACCGCGGGGTCCTTCTCTCTGCTTATACACGCTCGCACGCATGCACACACACGGGTATAAAGTCCGACCATGCAACCTCCACGCGGTACATCCTGGATAATATTGGGTTGGCAAATAAGTTAGTTCGGTTTTTTAGAGTAGAATAAAACATAATTTTTTGATCAATTTTACAAGATAAATTTTAATCAATTATATATTGGCCATCTTTACCGATGACATCTAGCCATCTTTCCACCAATTTCATTATGCCGCGCTCGTAAAACATCTGGAGCTTATCGGCGAAAAACCAGTCCAAATGGTTTTTAACGGCCTCTTCATCTTTGAAAGTTTTCCCGTTCATAGAGTTCTGCAGCGGAATAAATGATAATCGGAAGGGGCAAGATCCGGTAAATACGGAGGATGAGGCGGAACATCCCAGCCAAGTTGAAGCAATTTGTTCCGAGTGGTCAATGACGTATGAGGTCTGGCGTTGTCGTGGTGGAAGACGACACCCTTGCGATTTGCCAATTCTAGACGTTTTGTGCGGATTGTTTGATTCAATTTCGTCAATTGCGAACAGTATACAGTTGAATCAATCGTTTTGCTTGGCGGTTCGCCAACAGTTCGTAATAGATGACACTCTTGAAATCCCACCATACAAAGAGCATTATTTTCTTCGGATGCAATCCCGCCTTCGAAGTTGTTTGCGGTGGGGCTCGCTGCTATGCCCTCATGATCTTTTACGCGTTACATTATCGTAGACGACCCATTTTTCGTCACCCGTCATCATTCGTTTAAAAAATGGATTGTTTTCTTGGCATTTCCGTAGCGAATCGCAGATGGATATGCGTGTGGTCAAGTTAACCTCGGTTAATTGATGCGGCACCCAAACATTAAGCCGAGAAACATATCCCAGCTGACGCAAATGCTTTTCTACGCTTGTGTGGAATATATTCAATGTCGTAACAATCTCTCGTACCGATTGAGATGGATTTACTTCGATTATAGCCTTAATGTCACTTGAATTAATTTCGGTCGGGCGACCGGAGCGGGGCACATCATTAACGTCGAAATCTCCAGAACGGAAATTGGCACACCACTTTTGGCATACGCCAAGGTTCTGTTAAGGCATCATCTCCATACACACGGTATATTTTTTTATGAGCATCTGCAGTTCGTTTGCCTTTTTTAAAATAATAGAGCAAAATGTGACGATAATGCACGTTATTTATTTTCATGTTCATAGCTACGCAGCACACACAATACTGATGTTAGCCAAACCAAACACAGCACAACATAAACAGTGAAACATAACCTTTTAAATGTATATTCGATTTGCACGATAGCGTTGAGAAAAGAAAAGCGAATCCGCATGAAACTTATACTGAAACAAAAACCGAACGAACTTATTTGCCAACCCAATATTGGCAATAAGGGCAAAAGCACAGGCTTTTGCATAACACATAATACATAACCAATTAGTTTTCTTCATTTCCCTCTTCAGGACAGAAATGAAGAACTCTGATTGGTTGATTCTCTTATGTGTTGTGTATTATGCATTATGCAGAAGTCTGTGCTGTGGCTCTAAGGGCAAGAGCACAGTTTCAGTCCTCAGGACATTTCTGTCCTGAGGAGGGAAATGAAGAAAACTAATTGGTTTATTCTCTTATGCGTTATGTATTATGCGTTATGCAAAAGCCTGTGCTCTTGCCCTGACCCTTTGCACTTCTATGTCGAGCGTGACTCGACATCAGTTTTTATCTCAGGAGCTCCTTTGTCCAGTCTCACTCGACATTTTTTCAAGTCTAAACCAATAGATGTCGCGCACACATTATCGACCATGACATATAATCTTAATCGAGAAATGATTTTGTTGATGCTTACTCGTGATTCTCGTGTTCCAAATATGAAATTCGGAAGGGTTGGAGCAAGTGATAAGCACGATCGGAGTGCAAAGGGTTAATGCTGGCGACCGTAAATTCTAAAGCTCATAACTCAGACAATTTTCCATAAAAATAGGTCATCAAGTAGTGTTTTGGAAACGTCTCGCTGTCATCTTTAACACTGTGTGATAAAAAATGGGGTTCCATTTAAAAAAAATCATGTTGGCCTTGACCTCGCCTTGATCCCTCCACTCAAGGTCAAACCGATATTATCATTCAATAGAACTTTTAAAACCCTACTACTTTGGTTGGAAATATTTTTCTCTTCTTTCTGGAAATATATTTCGTTTTCAAGATATTTGACCGTTTCCAGACTTTTCTAACACCCTGTATATACACACAGGGTGACTCAAAGCAACTCACTGTCCTTGAAATTATATGTTCTTGAACAAGTTTTAAGATAATTTTTCTTCTTACAAAATGTTATCCGAAGCTTAATTTTTAAGTTATAAAGGTAAGTAGTTTGCTTATGCTTATGGATCGGATACAGGAGATAGACAAAAACGTAAATCATTAGTTAAACGCAGGTGCTTACGTTGAACGTTTAATGCGATGAACTTATTGATGAACACATTTTTATAATTTCTATTAATGATTGTATTGAGTTTCGCGAGAGGAATCTGCGAAGCTAACATACGTTTGTTTTCTTCATAAACGCGATGATTGCAGCAAAATGTAATAGTTAACAGCAATGTTGTCCGGCATAAACGGATTAATGTGATCGCCAAGCAGCAAGAATTAATGTAATTGTAATAACGAATGAGGTATTTTAAATTGTTATATTAAATTAATTATATAGTTATATAAAATTTTATTATTAAAATAAATTAAATAAATATAAATAAAAATGAAGTATTTTAACGTTCGAGGATAAAATACTTGATTACGCGAGCATTTACAAACTAGAAATTTTGAAAATACAAGCGAGAAAAACGGAAAATAAAAACGAGTTAATCATCACAATATCACGCTTTGTAAAGCATAAGATAGTCTTATTTTTAAGAAAACCGACGAATACATATTTCTTCGTAAAGATTATTTATTTTAAGTATAACTTTTTCGACTTGTTAGTGTGCATTCATTCCCATAATACCAAAGAGTTTTATTTTCAATTCGATCTTAAGTTGTAGACTTTCCTTCCTCCTCGTGGCGAGTAACGGAAGTTATAAAAATGATGCGTGAAGTTATAAAAATGTTATTACGTGCATTGATAAGCTCAACGCATTAGGCGCTCGATGTAAGCGCCTAAGGCATCTCATGGTGTCGTTCCTGTTTATCTACTGTACCCGATCCGTAATAAGCAAACTACTTACCTTTATAACTCAAAAATTAAGTTTCAAATAACATTTTGCGACAAGAAAAATCGTCTTAGAATTCTTTCAAGAACATGTCATTTCAAATACAGCAAATTGTTTTGAATCACCCTGTATATACATATATATCGAAGGTCGGAACATTTTTTTTAACTTCATGGAACGAAGTCTCAAAAACAAGTTTCATCTACAGTAACACTTTCTCCGTCTTTACTGTAAGATATATCTTTTATAATTCGATAATGTTAAAGAAATCCGATTTGTCTTTACCAATGTATTTGTTTCACACGATACATCTTGCTACGAACAAGTACGAGTTTATCATCATGAAGGCATCCATAGGAAAAGATCGAAAGAATTTTGAAAAAAATATTGGACTTATGAGCAGCTACCAAGCAATAAACGTTTACCTCGGCATTCTCTGTACCAGATAACAATAACATAAAATAAGAGGGAGCGCGCCTCGACGCAGGTACACCCAGATATTACAAGCGATTCATAAGTCACACATCTGAATCGCCGGTGATAAAAGAATGATCACGATAACAATGATGATAAATCATTTACATATCATTCATCAGACAATTTATCTTTGGTGCACGTTACTTCGAGAAAGCGGTACCCATGGAAAAATATGTTCGCATTTGAGCGAACGGATAAATTAATCGAGCAGTAACTGACCATGTGCGGTATTCTTTGTTGCACGAGTTGCAGTTCCTCGTAACTGTACATTGGCTGTTGGAAAGCATAAGGTACACCTTGGCCCATAATGTATTGATGACTAAGCATAGGTGTCATACTTCCAGCAGCACCACCACCCGTCATATTACCGGTACCGCTGCTGCCCGTCACTACTCCGCTCGATGTGCTTTTTGGCACAGCTGAAATTAACAATATGTTAATTATACGCATGCACATACATACGCATGTACGTACCAATCGTACCGAGTAATCTTCGCTTACCGTTCGAATTAGTTACTTTAGTCTGCGAACTGTTAACCGAGGCGGAACTAAGTCCCAACGTGGGAGCGGTAGTTGTCGCGAGAGAACTATTAGACGTCGTCGCGTTGCTGTCATATTGAGAATCTTTAGTCGCGGTGTTGTTCATTTTGTGATTGTGAGTTGCCGCTTGTGGTTGGCTGGTGTAACTCGCGTAGGGACTTGCATATACCTATTAAGTTTATTCGTTTACACGTATAAACTTAAGGATCAAGTTACAATATGTGTATGCATGTACGATACAATGGCAAAATAAAGATACTTACAGATTGTGCAGCACTCTGGTAACTACCCGAGCTCTGTGTTATCGGCGATGTAAACGTTGTGACCGAAGACTGATAAGCTTGTGGCTGATAAGCTTGATATCCTGCGTTGCTGTTCGACACCGTATTAGTAGCTACAGATTGCGCTTGATATTGCGATGTTGTAGTCGGAACGTACCCGCTCGTAGACTGATAAACCTAACAAAGGGATAAAAAAGGAATGAAGTTTCGATATGAATTATCAGTTATTTAATGATTTATAATACATCACGTGATAAATATGGTTGTTACCTGACTACTAGTAGTGGGTTGGTTATAACCGGAAGTCACAGATAAGGACGCAGAAGGAGAAGCTTGACTGAAAGTCGATGCGTTGGATTGCGGAAACGATGTTGACGAATTGTAACTTGCTTGCGAGACCGTCGCCGTCGCAGAATAGCTATTTGTATTAGCAGATGCTGACGCGGTCTGGAAGGTGGATTGAGAAGATTGACTATTTGTCGAGTATGCGTTGTACGTACTCGGCGTGCCACTCGATGGCTGGAAAGACGATTTCTGCGACTGGTACGTCGTCGTGGGTCCGTACGTTGGTGCATTTCCAGGCGAAACTTGCGATGTGAAGTCTTGTTTAGTTATGTCCAGGTTTTGACCGCTAGTATTTCCACGTGCAGTGAAACTTTGCGAACTAATCGAATGCTCGCTTGACACCGGCAAATTATCGGTACCTGATAACTGAAAATTTTACATATAATTGTACTTCGCAACTTATAAATTATTATAAATGTGTAAATTTTAAAAAAGTAAAATTTTCCAAGAAACAGATGAAAGTTAACAAAATTCAAGTTGCTAGTTAACGTATAAAAAGTCTATTGCAAAAGAAAAATAGAATAGAGGAAGAGAAAGAAAGAGAAGTATGAATAATGCTAAATATAAATCAAATGATAACAATGAAAAATGAAAAGCTCAGCTTGGGATTGTTAATATAATACACATTACAGGATAATAAAAAAAAAATCTATTCTTGTCAACAAGCTACGTCATTTATGCAAAAAATATTTATAAATAATATTTATAATATTTATAAATAATATAAACAATTTTCTGTATTTTTGATATTTTTTGACTTTGCAGCAATGGTTAATTGAAAAGAATCCCAGGCAAGGACTAATATGTCCTACGTATTAAATCATATAAGTTTATACTTTCTTTGTTCATAACAGAATCGTTACGTACGACGAATAGCAACTTATTTCTACTAAATCGTATCTATTTCTTGGTTTTTTCAGAGCCAAATGAAGATTATTTACCATCTGAGAACTAGCGTTGTAAGGTGTCGTGGAAGTCTGCGTCGTTTCGATGTCGAGCGAATTACTAGTGTTGGCAGTGTTCACAGTATTCGGGCCGGAAGTCATATCCACACCGGAAATTGTACTATTCGCGGAATTGTACTTCTCGTTAGCGGAGCTATCGAGAGAGCTAGAATCGCTACCAAATTCGAGTGCACCAAATTGTACATCTAGGAAACCGATTCCACTGTTCACCGCATCACCTGGCATTTCCACTGCACTCGATGGTATCTTGGATGGTGGAGGAACTCTAGGGCGTTGCTTCGTTTGTCTTTGAGGCTGAAATTCATGCACGCATATAAGTCAGATAAGCATCGATGCAGATACTAAAGGAGAAAAAATTTAGTACACACTAGTGGAAGTATTTCAAAGAAAAATATTACTGTACCTGACTTGATATAGTTGACGTAAACGACGTTTGTCCAGCCGCTTTTAAATTCTCGCTTGACTGTTGACTAAGTTGCGTCAAATATTGAGTTTGTGCTGCTGTTAATACACCACTACTGATAGCACTAGGTTGCTGTGACAGTTGCATCGTCGGCAAGTTTAATACAGGTTGTAACTGCTGCTGCTGTTGTTGTTGAGGTTGCTGCTGTATTAAAGTCTGCTGTTGCATCGTCGACATGTCGGACAATTTTGGCAAGTCCTATAAATTTTGTGGAAAAGAAAATTAATATATAGATGCATATTAATATATATAAACATGTGTACACGCGATAATTTCCTAGTCTTATAAAATCTTACTTCTTGCTGCAGAAGTGATAAATTAACATTTTGACTTGATTGCGCTGATGGAATTTCCTGTGGCTTTGATTCGTCTAAGGCGGGAGAAGGCTCCAAAATAGATGTGCTTGGAGTAAAGACTTTAGTGTCAGCTAAAGAACCTGTATACTCTTCATTGTCCCAATCTTCTGTTGAATCCAGATTGTTCCAAGCATCTATTATTAAGTCAATATATGTCCAATCATATTTAATTTCCTTTTTATACTTTCATTTATAAGTACAAAACGCACAATATCACTTTATTTAGAAAAATAATGATCCATTTATAATTTAGTCATAATCTTACAAAAAAAAAAAAAACTGTCTATTTAGAGAAATTAGAATCTACCCATTTTTGGTTCTTGAATACTTTGTTGCTGCTCTTCACTCCCTGTCCAGGTATCAATGGGACGATTAAAACTATGAGTAACGGAAGTAGACGATGGATCGTTACGGTTTGCGAACGTTCGCGGTCCAAGACCTCTGCCGCCACCACGACCTCCACGACCTGATCTTCCAGGTCCTCCTCTTCCTCTTCTGCTATAGCTGCCATCGCGAATACCGTCCTCCATGTTTCTTTCATTTTCTTTGTTTTCACGCCCACGCCCTATAGAAATATCATTCCGTAAAAATTGAATATAATTTAATAATATATAAACTACATAAATATAACTTTGTAAAAATTATAGATTTATCGATAGAATAATGAAGAGAATAAGAGATTTGTAATGCATAATCTCATGACAAATTAAATGACGAAGACAAAAAACAAAAAGAAAGGTTAATAGACATGCATATTCATTTCTATTTCAGAATGACAACGATGTAATTAAAAAATTTAAGAAGAAATTAAACTAACATCCACGGTTATCATGGTTAGCACGGCCTCGCATGCGTGGTGGACCACCACTACGTTGATTGCGTCGTTCCTCCCAATCGCCACTCTCATCTTGTCCACCTGTTTGATCCGCACTTTGTTTGGATCCACTTGGTTGACGCAACTTCTTCTTTTTGACTTCCCATTCTGCCTTCACTCTATCTTCCAGGAGATCATTCACAGCGCGATCTAAATCTCCATCATTGTCATGCAAAGCCATGACCACTTCATCCTCCGATCGTCGGGTCATGTCCATGACTTGCTTGACACATTCTTTTAGAGAATCTTCACCTCCTGCCATTCTGGTGTCGATGATTTGTGCGTGCCGGATTTGAACAGTGTTTTGCTATATGAAACAATTAAAAAGTTCCTTAAAAATGTTACAACATTCTATATATTAACTTTACTTTTTACTTAAGTTTGTTATTTTGGTTATATTATTGTTACAAACAAGAAAATAATCTTTAATAAATATACAATCACACATATCAAGGTTTCTAATACTTGAATTTCTCACAAAAAATGTTATTATGATAAATCATAGGTTGATAAACTTGACAATAATAAGTAACACAATATAAGAACAATTATATACTAACCTGAGCTTTATCATGTTTAGTTGAATCTGATGATTTAATCTGATGATGGTCTGATTTTCCATGTTGTTGTGACTTGTTTTTGTTGGTACCTCTTCCAGAGGACATCAATGATTTATTATTTGTGCTCATTGCCAATAAAATCTCACACCTAAGCGTTCGCAGTATCACACTATGTACACTTTCTATTTACAGTCTGAAACATAGAATGTACATACATATATATATGTATATCTATAAGTTATATATACATATGTTGTATACACATATATATATATACATATATTGTATACATATGTAATATATACATTTACATATATATGTCATTACATATAGTAGTTATTTAATTTCCGCAATTATATAAATCGCAAATATTTATATTAAAAGTATCACAATAAAAAATATAAAGACAAACATATCTAAATAACCAAAAATATTGAAGCATAAAATAATTACTATAACTCCATTTTCATTTTAATATATTAATATTACTATATATTAGATAAATTAGTATATATTGCAAAATATTTCAAATATAACATGAATGATTTACTAAATAAAAATCAGATGATTAGAACTATATTAAAGATAGAGTTAAACTGTGATTGTATATCTATTTTTGAGTAAAATTTAACTATATCCAACTATATCCAACAAAATATGTGAATATATTATAGTTTTATATCTTAATTTTCCTCCTTTATATGTTTTTAAGCACTTATGATATGAAAATATTATAGAAGTTTATATATTGTTTGCATATATTTTGTAATCCAAAGAATTTTCTTTTTATGAAAATTATATATTGTAATTTCCTATGTATTTTATATATATTTAATTTATTTCTGAATTCATAAAACAATACAATATAAATATTGCTCTCCAATATTTTTATTTCTAATAGTGATATTAAGTAAAAAATTTTTGGAGAAACTTAAACAACTGTTTAATAAGATTTAGTAAAATATTGTTCATAATAATGATTAACATCTTACCATGTGCGAAGCAATTATCAAATAAGAATTATATATAAAAGATATTTTTGACCGAACAAATTAATTTTACGTTTACAAAGTACATATGAAAACGAGACAAGGTTAGGATGATCTAATAGCGATAAACTATAGGATAAAATCAGGCGGGATAAGGAAAGTTAAAGGAAATATGCACGTTTATCACACGACGATCTTCCACGAGGAAAATGATATATTCGTGTAGTGTTCTATGATGCGCGTAACAATGCACGCCGAAGGTCCTCCAAAATATCTTGAAGGATCCTTTGCGAACAATCGCGTGGCCCTTGAAGTACAATCCGAACCCGAAAAAAACGCGTGGAACGTGCCTCCTGGGGTATATTTAGACGAAAACTTCGCTTCGAGTAAACTATGAAATTTCACCGAAAAAAATGTTAGAAACGGAAAAAATTTTCAGTTTCGGGAATCCAATGATGGAAAAAAAGGAGCACTGTCGGGCGCGTCGTCGAGTACTACCTGTACACGTCGTCACATACGTCGTTTGTACGCAAGAACGAACAGAGACGAAATGAGGAAAAGTTGTCGGTTCGCGGGACGACACACTATGTGAACTTCCGGTACCGATTGTAACTTTCTCACAGTAAGGATATTTTTCAGCAGGCCATGTGCACGGCGGACGCCATTTCTGCTTGTGCGAGAGGAAGGCTTGTCAACCATGAGCGCGGTGGTGCATCGACGGGGATCGGCAGAGATGGAATGGCCGAGAAAGAAAATTCTTTGCGTATACCTCACGGCTATTGTAGGCGACGCACGCCTGTTCCGTTAGACGTGTCGGGAAGCAGAAACGAGCAGAACTCACGGCACCTCGGCACTTGGGGCCGTGGCGCGCGAAAAACTACGAGAAAAACAACGGATTCACTTCGTACCTGGTTAGTGCGCTCAAAACGCAGCTCAGTCACGTGACCGCGACGACCCCCTTCCTGATGCACCCACGAACGCAGCCAGCACCACCTCTTTCGCTCTTTATCGGGCTCTATACGGCTAGCTACTAATGGCTCTGCGGACAGACGTGGCGGCGCTTACCACGCAGAGAAATGCGACGCGACAGCCAATTGACGCTCTCGTCGCTCTTTCCCGCGAGAATGAGTAACCGATTGGTTGCCACTGCAGCACCGCATCTTGTACGGTCGCGGACATAAAGGCCTACCTACAATGGCTGCAATAATAAGGTTCTAAGCGTAAGCAGTAAAGCCAGCGGCACACGGTGCTTGTTTTCGTGCTGGATTGCTTGCTGGATGAAAATGCTGCGTTTTGATTGGTACATTTTCGAAGATGGATGGAAATGCACCAATCAGAACGCAGTATTTTCATCCAGCAAGCAATCCAGCACGAAAACAAGCACCGTGTGCCGCTGGCTTAAGAAATATACCAACCACAATCGATTATTAGTGTATGTCTACACCTTGCTTTAAAGGCTCGTCTACATTAGCTGTAAGAGTAAGGATGTAAAGTTACAAGACACGAAATGAAATATTTTCATTCGCTGACAGCTTACGTTACAGCCTTACAACCTTATGGCTCCTGCACACAGGACGCGGAAACGCTTGCCGCGCGAAAAGAAACGACGCGGTAAAGAGAATTGGTTTTTCCGGCATTCACACAGCACGCGTTATAGCTTATATGCGCATGCGTAGATATAGTGTCATTATAACCTCTATTATAATAAACATACATTTGCAAAAATTGTTATACGAGTAATAGAAGTTGTATAATAAAAGTTATGAATGAAGCAAGATGTCGAATATTACTTTTATGTTTATTATATATAAGACATCGAAAAAGAAAAGAAATGATAACTAAGCGAAAATATTGGGTACACCCGATATTCAAACTGAAGCAACAGCAAGGAGACTGGCACAATTTAGTCCGCGAAATGATTTTACAAGATGATGATACATATTTTACTTATATGAGGATGACACCTAGTATGTTTGAATATTTATTATCAAAAGTTGGACCTACGATAACAAAAATGGAAACACATTGGAGAAAACCTATCTCACCAGCTGCACGATTGTCAATGACTATACGGTAAGTAGATTTATAATAACTTTATTTAATCTAAATATTATTGTCTCTTGTATTTATATTAAATAATAGATAGAAATGTTCTTATTCTTATATAACATATAATAAATTAATTTTGTTATTTTTAGTTATTTGGCAAGTGGAGATGGATTTCATAGTATTTTACTTAGCTATAGAATTGGAAGAAGTACTACGACGTGTATTATAAGAGAAACTTGCGAGGCTATATGGAGTTGTCTACATAAAGAAGAATTATTTACGCCAACAACAAATGGGTGGCAAGAAATAGCTCATGAATTTGAGAATAAATGGAACTTTCCAAATTGTATTGGTGCTTTGGATGGGAAGCACGTATCTATAATTGTAAGATTATATTAAAATATATACGTAAAAATTTTAATTACATATCTCATAAATATTAATAAATATTATTTCCATAGTGTCCTAAGAAAGCAGGGAGCACTTATTATAATTATAAAGGGTTCCACAGCATAGTGTTATTGGCGTTAGTGAGTGCAACGTACAAATTTTTAATTGTGGACATTGGCGCTCAAGGAAGGCATAGTGACGGAGGAATTTTTAAAAATTCAGCTATGGGACAACGATTTTATAACAATAATATGTATTTGCCTGATCCTTCTGCTATTAGTAACAGACATAATGTTCCATATGTTATTGTAGCTGACGAGGCATTTCAGTTGAATTCATTTACAATGCGACCATACCCATCGAAAAATTTAACAAAACAACGCATATTTAACTATAGATTAAGTAGAGCTCGACGAGTTGTTGAGAATGCATTTGGAATATTAGTTACTCGATGGCGTATTTATCAGAAACCTTTAAACACCAGTCTTGTAACAAGTGATGCAATAATAAAAGCAACAGTCTGCTTGCATAATTTATTAATGAGTACTTCAAATTACTGTGGAGGAAATTATGCTGATCAATTATTAGCAAATGGCCAAATAATTGAAGCAGAATGGAGGCAAAAATACGTCAATAGTGATAATTACAGGAATAAAAGTTTTGGTAATAATAACTACACTAGATAAGCTGGTGAAATTCGGACAATTTTTACAGAGTATTTTATGAACGAGGAAAAAATCCCTTGGCAAGAAGATATTATGTAGGCAAGAGATTGTTATCATATTGTAAGTTTGTGTATTAATTAAAAAATAAAGATTATACATTTATATACATATATGTTCGTATTTTATTAAGACTAGTAACCACAATCTACATAAAATGTAACTTCTAAAATAAAAATTATCCTGATTTACAAGAATATTATTTTATATGTCAGACAAATCTTAATTTTGTATTAAGTATGTAATATCGTGTATTTGTGTGTGTAATGCATAATATATTGCACAACATAACTGTCATTTAGTGACATTTAACAATTATACATATACACACAAACAAATATTAAAAAGAAAACAATAAAACATAACTATATATAGAATATTGAAATAAAACATCGAATATTAAAATAAAATAGAATACTGAAATCAAACATATTACATATCTTCCTCTGCGATAAGTTTTAATATTATATTTTTAATACGTTTTGAGTTATCTGCACTCATCCCTCGCAGACATGCTTCAATATATTTTGTGAAACATTCAATTTCATCAGGTTTTGTATGAGGTTTATCTGCTGGTCTCATTCGTACTAATTCCATCAAAATAGCTTCTTCAGAAAGAGAACTTGTATCATTTTTTTAACTATCTTTGTTTTTTCTGTAAAATAAATATTGTTTTTTTTGTATTACATGCAATAAAGAAAATATTTCTTATATATCAACAAAAACGTTTTGCAGATAAAAATGAATGAAGCAAAATACCCAGAACAAATCTTGTTTTGTACCGTAACAGAACGTTTTACAACACGCAAAATAATTACATTTAATAATTTATATATACGTACTGGTGCCTTTTGTTCTACACATTGATTCTTCAAAAGCTTTGTTTTTTATATCACAGCTATCTGAATCTGATGTGTATGGAGGTGTGAAAGCTGTGTAAAAAAATCAAAATAGAATTTTAAATAAAATATGCAGAGAATAAAAAAAATAACTAATCGTTGTTTAGTTACTTACAGTAATTCTTCTTCGGATACATTAATTGTGGTTTTAATGAAGTTCTATTCTGTAATAATGATTTGTGCGAAATGTTATCTTCTTTTTCTGTACTGGTACTTGGTCCAGAAATAAGTGAAATAATGGATTCATCTGATTCTTTTTTTGCTGAAGCTAAAGGTACAGTTGGATCTATATTTTCAATGTTACTTTTTGTCCTAAAATACAGTTTCCAATTAAATTAAAATTAACTAATATTATTTCGTTATATATGATGATATATTGTCATTATTATTATTATAATTAATATAATCATTAAATTGAAATATTCCAATGATTTATTATGTATTATATGTTATTTTATATAGTATCAATAGTTCCATATTTTATATATGTATCTATATATACATCTATATATTGTAGTTTATCAAAATCACACTATAAATACCTTCTATAATTTATTGTTGGTGTCAGAAAACATAAACTTTCATAAAATGACCAAGTACTCTTCTTTTTTACAGCTGCACTACCACTTGGGATATAAGCACATTCTAAAGCATGCTCTTTTACGAAACGGTCCCTTATATTCTTCCACTTTATCTGGCTTGTACCAGCAGTTGTACCTACATAGATATACATATATATTTTTAGAAATATATACTCTTCAATTTTTACATATTAATATATGTTGAATAAACATATGCATATATATTCATTCTTACCTAAACAATTATCTATTTCAGCCCATAATACTTTTATATCTGATGGACCTCTGAACTTATAAGGCAGGGACGAGTTCCATAAAGGTTCTCTTTCGAATACTTCAGTAATTAATTTTTCGATATAATCATTTTTGCTCTTTGTGTTGATATCACTATTGTTACTGTTATAAATAGGGCAATCATGTTCCTCTGTAATATCTATTATATTATTGCAATCCCTGCACCACTGAAAATAAAAATTAAGTTATACATACGCAACAAAATTACATATAATAATTACCTTTACAATAAATATAATAATTAACCTATACCTGTTTCACATAACCTTATAAAAAACATCAATCATAAAATCAGTTCTTTCATCATATACTGTACTATAATTATGAATATTCATTAATATATAAATATTTTTTTTTTACTTACAACTTCAATATTATCCATTTCATTCTCCATAATTAGATTTTCTTTTCCAGAGTTATAAAATATTCGTTGGCGGAACATACGTTGACTTACGTTACTTCTATAGAAATATCTTACATCTCTATGGTTACTTTACGATATGTAAAAGATACACTACAAATAGCTATACCGCGTGGGAAAAGTTAAATCAACTTTAACTTTTTTCGCGCGGCGGAAGATATATATACACTCTTTCCGCAAAAGTAAGAGATTGATTGGCTACCTGCTGACTTCCGCCGCGCGGCAAGCGTTTCCGCGTCCTGTGTGCAGGAGCCAATAAGCCGTAAGTGTTAAGTGACGTCATTTCCGTCTCTAAGACATTCCGCGCAGTATTTAAAGCTAAGACTCCATGCATGCGGTGAGCTGTGGCAAATGCTGCGATGACCAATCAGGAGGGAGGCGCAAGTCCGGTTGCGGCAAGCTCCGGCATGCGTCTGTCTCCTGATTGGTCACCGCAGCCGTTTGCCGGAGCTCACCGCATGCATGGAGTCTTAGCTTAAGCTTTAGCCGTTAGATCTAAGCGAATTGCGCAAAACTCAATTCCTACGGCCTAGAGCATAGAGCTTAAAGCCGACATATAATTTTCAGCCAATCAGCGAAGAGGATGTTTTGTCGTGTCAAAAAGAATACACCGTCGATCGTGGATATAACCTCGCTCGCCGATATAACCTCCGATTTTGTATTCCATATATTTGTAAAAGATGCACATTCCACGAACACAACACCATTGTTAGCAGGAGAGCTTGATGTAAATCCATCTTGGTTATGTAGAAAGTAAAGAAACTGCGTGTTTACAAACGCATTATCACCAACCACCAAGTCCGAATAACCCTTCTCTCATTGGCTGATATACGTCACGTTTTACCTTACGTTTTATATTGTGGATTACCGTCTTTAAAGGTTCGTCTACATTAGTTGTAAGAGTAAGCTGTAAGGCTGTAACGTAAGCTGTCAGCGAATGAAAATATTTCATTTCGTGTTTTACAACTTTACAGCCTTACTCTTACAGCTAATGTAGACGAACCTTAAGGTTTATTTAAAGGCTCGTCTACATTAGCTATAAGAGTAAGGCTGTAAGGTTGCAAGACACGAAATGAAATATTTTCATTCGCTGACAGCTTACGTTACAGCCTTACAGCCTTACTCTTACAGCTATTGTAGACGAGCCTTAACAGTTTTCAGCTTAAGGCCATTGCACGTACAAAAATTTTAGTCGTAACCGTAAGTCCGTAAGCAAATTGACCAATCACAATTCGTATATTTCGAGATGCTGGATTGTGATTGGTCAATTTGCTTACGGTCTTACGGTTACGACTAAAATTTTTTTACGTGCAATGGCCTTTACAGCTTAGAGCTTACGGCTTAGAGATAAAATATTTTCTTAAGGAAGGTTGTAGACATACACTTATGGCTGCGTTCCGTTTCACGCATCGAGTGCATCGATCGCAACCAATGCGTTGCGCGCATTGATATCGTTCCGTTTTCGTTAATGCGTCTATGCGCTTTTGGAAACGGAACGACTTTTGATGCGTTTGATGTGAAAGGAAAAAAGGATGCTACTATGGTCACAATGGACATCGAAACATTGACAACAATAGCCTTATTTTCATTAGTGAATGATGACAACAGAATTAGCAGCAGTAGTAGCAGTAGTAGTAGTGAGTCTATATTTTATCAAGAAATCTTGATCTGTAGAAAAATATTCACACACATGCATTAATTTAAAAATACAATTGCATTGTTTATAAAACTTTAAAATTTCAATTTTATCTTTCGATGCTCTTAACGCGATCTCTTTTTCGAGAAACATAGTGATCATTTCATTATCCGCTAAGGCCCAGTTCCACAACTTGTTTTAAACGGAGTTTAAAGCTAAACCGATGGTTAAAAGCAATATTATGGCCCAGTTCCACGTTAAACGGTTAAACCACAGTTAAACGGAGTTTAAAGCAAGTTGTGGAACTGGGCCTATATGCGCATATACTATTGCTTTTAACCATTGGTTTAGCTTTAAACTCCGTTTAAAGCAAATTGTGAAACTGGGCCTAATACGGCGAATTCAACTTTGTCGACTTTGTCCATTGTACGTATTTGTGATTATCTGTATGTTTAAAATCAAAAAATATCGGTACGTTAAATATATCAGTCATCATGTCATGTTGTCAGTATTTAAATAGGGTTATATAAAAGATTATAAATACTAATCTGCGCATACTCGCATCAACTGCTTCTAGTCCGAGCTGTAGTAGTGATGCGCATTTAAGGTGCCTTTATATGGGAGCGTCGAGCGTCGAGCGTCAAAGCGTCCAACCAATCAAAGTTCCTTGTTTTTATCCCTGAAATAAGAAATGAAAAACTGATTGGTTGGACGCTTTGACGCTCGACGCTCGACGCTCCCATGTAAAGGCACCTTTAATGCGATAGAGGTGGGGGGATTCTAGGGAATTCTATACGCCACCAATGCACGCATTAGCTGAAACGGAACGGTTCTGTGTTGCGATTCTGTAACTCGTTAACTCCAATAACGAGTTACAGAATCGCGGTACTGGGGCTATATTCCGTATTCGCGTACCGATAGTTATCGGTGTCGTTAGCAGTATTGCGCAGCTTTTTTGTTATATGAAAAACTTGCGCAATGTCGCTAACGACACTGACAACTGTCGATATGCAGGTACGGAATACAGCCCCTGGATGCAGTTAATGCGCTCGATGCGTGAAACGGAATGGACCCTATAAGAATAATCGATTATGGTTGGTCCATTTCTTACTGCTTACGCTTACAACCTTATTCTTGCAGCCATTGTAGATGGGCCTTAATAATGTATGCCCATTTTTTTGCAACTTTTGGAACGCATCCCGACTCGAGAAGAATGAGGGTATCCGCCTGCGGAGCACAGTGACTCGAAAGGAGAGAAATGAAATATATGCGGTGGAACATATTATAATAATACAGACTCAGATGAAATGAATACCCCGGCATTAAATGGAAATGAGGGAACACAGAACAGACAAGAATCATCCGATGTAAGTCTTATACTCCGGGGGACATCCAAAAAAGGTAGAGATAAATAAACATGTTTATGTTTTTAAAACAATATGAACTTAATGAAGAGAATTAAGCTGCATTACGATAGTTACGATTCTGTTATACATTTATGTGATTTATTGTTTCAGCCATCTTCTATATCAGAAGCAATGACTGCGTTCAGAAAACACAACGATTACACAACAGTTGAGTAATTCGTCAACGTTATTGGTCTGAATGTAAGGATCTAACAGTAAGGGCCAATAGTTACTAAGCGCTCAGTGAGCGTTTTGTTTTCTGAACGCAACCAATGATATTAGATATCAGAAGCAACTGTTATAGCGAATTTTGAATTTTTGGGGCATACAGACATGGACATGAAAGAGGAAGAAGCAGATAGAGAGGATGAAATTTATGATGCAAATACGGATACTAAACCAAATAAAGTAACGTTTACTATCATCTTGCGTTTTAATGATATTGTTCACGCTATTTATTAACATAATTTCTTATTTTAGACATAAATAATTCTTATTTTCAGACATAAATAATAAATCACATATAAATATTAGGTATACAAATGAATAATCCAAATTATTTTAAGCAGTTATGAAATCAATTTTAAATTGAATAGATTTTCTTGCTCTTTTGTGATTATGCAATGTTGACATACAGCTATTAAAAAGAATATATAGTTTGGCGAAAGGCCCAACATAACCTTCAAAAGTATTCAGTTCAGTACAGTCGAAAATGGCAACAGATAAGGTGCATATCCGATACTGCATTCTTTACGAATTCCAACAAGGAAAGTCGATTCACGCTGCAAGAGCGTGCGAATCGATTTGTTCTTTTCTCGGCGAAGGTGTTGTATTGTACGATGTGTGCGCATTTTGGTTTAAGCGGTTTAAAAGTGGTAATTTCAGTCTAATCGACAAACAACGCCCTGGAGGCCCTTCGAAGTGCGATAATGATGATTTGGAACAACTGTTCGCTGAGAATTCGGCACAAACACAAAAAGAGCTTGCAGAATAGTTCGGAGTAACATAGCAAACGATTTCCAAACGCCTACATGAGATGAGAAAGATCCAGAAAGAAGGAAAATGGGTTCCGCATGAACTCACTGAAACTAACAAAAATCAACGAGTGGCAGCGTGTCTTTCTCTTCTCAATAAGCAGCGTCGAAAGTCTTTCTTGTGGAAAATCGTTACAGGCGATAAGAAATGGATACTCTATGATAATCTGAAACGCAGAAAGTCATGGGTAAATCTCAGCGAATCATCAAAATCAGTCGCAAAATCCGATCGCTTCGGAAAGAAGGTTCTGCATTTAGTGGGATATCAAGGGTGTGCTTTATTATGAGTTGGAACCGGGTGAAACAGTTACTGCGGACTGCTACCAACGTCAATTAATCTGTTTGAGTCAATAATTGGAACGAAAACGTTCGTATACTGGCAAAGGAGAACATCCAGTGAAATTGTTGCATGACATCGCTAGGTCACACATTGCTTCCAATACAAAAGACACCATAATGAGTCTTGGCTGGGACGTCTTGCAGCACCCGGCGTATTCACCAGACATTGCTCCATTCGATTATCACTTGTTCTGGTCGATGCAACACGTCTTGTTCGATATACACTTCCAATCAGTGGATGAGATCCGAAAATGGCTTGACGACTTTATCGTGTCCAAAGACGTAACATTTTTCCAAGATAGAATTCATCAGCTGCTTGAAAGATAGCTTAAAGTTATAGAAAGCTATAGCGAATACTTTGATTGAACAATTTAATTTACTTTCTTTTAAAATAAACCTTGAATGTAGCTGAAAAAATTGGATTATTCATTTGTACACCTAATATATAACAGAATCGTAACTATCGTAATGCAGCTTAATTCTCTTCATTAAGTTTTGTTATTTCATTAAGTATTGTTTTAAAAACATAAACATGTTTATTTATCTCTACCTTTTTCGGATGTCCCCCGGAGTATAAGATTTACATCGGATGATTTTTGTCTGTTCTGTGTTTCCTCACTTTCATTTAATGCTGGAGTATTCATTTCATCTGAGTCTGTATTATAATATATCTCACCGCGTATATTTCATTTCTCGCCTTTCGTTGTGAGTTACTGCGCAGGCGTGTTCTGCAGGCGGAGCAGTGACTCTCATTCTTCTCATAGCATATATAATAGACTGAGCATACGTGTTTTGGCAGAATGGAGAGAGAGGCAAGACATCGGTGATTTTCTCTCTTTGTCTGCGCAGATAAGATGCGCAGTCGTCTATTGACAGCCACTGATGTAGGCTTATCGTCAGAGAAAATATGTACATGAGCGTAGGTGTCTATGGGCAACAAAATACGCGTTACATTAAAGTTAATATTAAATAAATATACAACATTACGTGAAAATATATGTATATATTTTAAAAAATTTTCTTGCTTTATTAAAAGGAAAATTTTATTTCGAGAGATTAGAAATAAAATATTAATAGAGTGCAATTGAATAGGATCTAATGAATGGGAAATAAATTTAAATAAAGCAAGTTTTTATTTTTGTTATATAGTGAGGAAAAATATTTTTAACTTAGTACAAATAGGATACAAAATCTTAGCAGAATAAAGATAAGTTACATAAAGTAATACTTTATAGATGTAATACATACAATTAATAATAAATTTATAATAAATATACATACAATTTATAATAAACTTATTGGTTCTGGAATAGTATAAGTTTAATATATTTGGATCTTACTCTATTAACTGTATCTTTTTTGGATGATCCTTCATGATGAAAGCGAAGATTGAAATATTTTTGCAAAATTATTCTTAGCAATTGACTTCTATGATCCGCTAAAGGACTCTGATCAAATAAATGAATATTATTTTGGAAAATATGTGACGGAATTAAAGATACTGCTTTTACAAGTAATTTTAAAACAATATTTTTCATATTAAATAACCCAGACAGCACAATGTCCAAAACTGGGACATAAGATGTCTTTAAGACGTATTTAGGACGACTTAAAGATGTCTTATTTTCAGACATCTTAAAGACGACTTAAAGATGTCTTAAAGACGTCTTATGTCTCAGTTTTGGACATATGTGCTGTCTGGGAAGTTACTGTATATCCTAAATACTTTTTCACCAACAAGACAAACTGTAACAACATCTTCAGACACTAAAGTTAAGCCACCACGACATTTTATTTTTTGTAAATAGGATGATGTTTTATTACAAGTTAAACTAGATAAACATATTGGACATTTGATAATTTTAGTGATTTTTTCACAATAAAGCCAGCTATGTATCTTATCACTTCCTCAATATAATCACTACATAACCAGACACTATGAAAAAGATAATCATGATCTGTTTTATGTTCAGTACCTTGTATTTCAATAGAATAATGAATTAAATTATCTACACGTCCGATATTGGTTAACATAGTAGATCTACACTCAAACGCAAAAAACCCGGTACACTAAAAATTTGGGAAAAAATTACAAAATTTCAAATGATCATAATTTGGTAAATAATGAAGATACAAATATGCGCAGAAATGCAAAATGAAGTTTGAAACGTCCTCTTTTAGAATATCTGAATGGCAATTATGCTCGGCCATTTTTTTCAAAATGGCGGATGATAAAGTGAGAGGATGCAAAATTGATAATCAAAGGTTCGTGTTTGCGGTGTGCATCAGGTATCGCAGCGTAATGGGACCAAATGCACATGAAAGTATAGAGTGTTATCTTTAAAATGCTACTTTACCGAGCTCGATGTGATCATTTTTCACTGAGTTGTTCCAAATTTTGCTAAAAATGCGGTTTTCTTGTTAAATTTACATAATTCAGTGAATAAGTATCGCCTCAAGCTCTATAACGAAGTATTTTAAAGAAAACATTCTACACTTTTAGGTACTTTTCGTCCCATTGAGCTGCGACACTTTCCTTGTTCCATGCGCCGTCGCACGCTCGAACCATTTTTTAGCAACTTTTCATGTTCTCCTTTTTATCACCCGCCATTTTGAAAAAATATCGTTGCGCACAATTTCGATAGATCTTTCGAAAAGTACGGTTTCAAAGCTTTCAAACCGTTTTTGAAATTTACTGCTAGGATATTTAGGTGTCGAGATATTCAATTTCGAATTTGCAACAAATGTCGATTCAGCGAGGCTTAAGGGGCTAAGAGGCTCTACGGTTCGTTTGTTTCTTTCATAATTTCAATAGCTGTGTTCATGCTTCTCTATATAATAATTTACATAACCAGCACAATATATTCAATGATTTGCATTTATTATTTTGAAAGCCAGGGAAATGAAAGTAAAATTCAATTTAGGTTCTTCATTTTGCGTAATCGATATTACGTAATAAAGATGAATTGCGTTTTAAGATACTGCTGTCATTAGCTCAAATTATGGTTGTAAGTCTTCCCAATATAAACCGCATGGAGTTTTACTGGTAGGGAAAGTACCATTGTATGTAGTGCGTGCGTGCGTGCGTGCGTGCGTGCCCACACACACACACACACACACGCACACGCACACGCACACGCACACGACACGCACACGACACGCACACGCACACGCACACGCACACACACACACACACACACACACACACACGAGGTGTAAATCCGATCGTGCAACCTCCACGCGGTACATCTTGGGTAATGCTAATGCCGACATTACTGTAACTTTGAAGCTTCATAACTCGGGCTGTACTTAATAAAAAGATACTTTGTTGTAGTGTTTTGGAAAGCTCTTGAAATACGTTATAAGAATATGTCAAAAAGAGTAGGGCATTCCATTTGGAAAGTTCAAAGTGACTTTGCCCTGACCTTATTGACGCCAGCCAAGGTCAAACTGATAAGATCGGTAAATAGATCATTTTAAACCTTATAACTTTTGCCTGAAACATTTTTTCCAAAAACTGATTGTTTTCGAGATATTTTATCGTTCGAAGACTTTTTGGGAACTCTGTATAACTTTGTTCAAATTTATATATTTATAATTATATATTTATGTATTTATAATTATGTATTTATAATTATAAACATTATAACAGCAAATATCAATAAAATATTTTAATACCCTGTATAAAACGTATTTAAAAATATTGTTTCGCATTCACGAGATTTCGTCGTGAATTCTGGTTTGCGGAAATTTCGGATTGGATCGCGGGCCAATACTTTTCAATGCGATAGAGAATAAGACGTGAAGATCTTATATGCCTCTGAATCCGAAAACAATTAGGAGAAGAAATAAATACTTTCCAATGCGAAAGTTTGCATTTGCAAATTATCAATTGCAATTGAATGCAAGGCATATTTGAAATGAATTAAATCCTTTTTAATGCGAAACATTCACCACTGCCGTCTCGCATTTAGTGCGGTGAAATTTAATGCGGACTAATACTTTTCAATCCCTTTCTTCGCATCAGAAAGCAGAATTCAGACGTATTCAAAATGTCAATACTTTTTAATACTGTTGCGCCCTTGCGCAAGAAAAATAACATGGAATTAACAAAACGAAAGAAGCTTTATTTTAATACGTCCGTTC